ACCGTCAGCTAGGTAGTATCCTTTGTTGTAGTTGTGGCCGTTGATGTTAACATTCACCGGCGGGCAGTTGCCTTCGGCAAGACATACAAACACCGGAGAGCGTTGAAGCACATTGATATCATTGTGAGATCCGGCCATGCCGAAAAAAGAGTGCCAAATCCAGAGATCTTGTGAAGCCACAACCTTGAGTATGATGGTGCAAGCTTTGACATGGCCCCTATACTGTCCCTGCCAAGTAGAAGGGCAGTTCTTCCACTCTCAGTGCATATAGGCTATACTAAGCATCCCTGTGAAGCCCCTGCTAGCATTCTCATCAACAAGCGGGCTGTATCTTCAACATTTGGCTATCTCAAGTACTTAGGCCAAACACTGCAATCACAGCCTTGCAGAACTTGCACATTGAGTCTAGGCACATAGACTCGTTCATACGGACGTACTCATCAATGAGATCACCGGGAACTCCGTAGCAAGCATCCAGATAGCTGCAGTGCATTTATGATAAGAGGAGAAGCCAATCTTTCCAAGAGCATCCTCCTTGCACTCGAAATACTTATTGTATCCGTCCACCCCCTCCCGAATACAGTTGAAAATATGCCTAGCCATACAGAAACGACGTCGAAATTGGTGATGTTTGAAGAGGGGGTTGGGTGTCTCGAAGTAGTCCTTCCAAAGAAGAAAATAACCTCTCTCTCGGTTGCGATTAAACGCCAGAGTGTGCCCCGGTATCGAGCCCCGGAACAACGGCCGCTGCCTACTAAGGTGGTCATGGACGACCAACACAGCAGCCACCATCTCCTCATCGTCGGATGAAGAATCATCCGAGTCGCAAAGAAAATTGTGGAAAAAGAACTCGTCGGCGGAGTCCATTTGTACCTTGTGGGCAAACCGCCGAACAGCTTACGAGCGTCATTTAAGAAGTAGGTCGGCGAAGAGACGTGTGCCTCCCCTGGACCAGGTAGCTGGCTCGGCAGCGTCTGGCGAGCGTGGTGGCGTCAGACGAGCGTGCCGGCGTTGTCGAAGGAGCTGGCTGGGCGCGTGGGGCCGAGGTGGTGCTTGCGTCGACGTCGGGGAAGAAGCTGCGGTGGCCCGGCGGTGAGGCGGTGGTGGCGGCGATGATGTGGGAAGGTGGCGTGTTGTGGGGGAGGTATGTGGGTGCAGACTACTAGCGAGGGCATCAGAACTGGGCGGCGGCGACAGGGTGGGGCGGCCGGGGGCTTGCTGTCGATGGGAGGAAGAGAATGGCCTATGTGCCACCGACTGGCGGGTCAGAGGGAGGAGCGGGCGGGTGTCGCTCGCGTCCGCGCCGACGCAAATGAGGTCCAAATTTGAGCTAGGAACGAGTCGCCCGGCGAACGAAGAGCGGACGCACGTCTGTTTAGACCAACGTATTAGATCGATTTTTATGTTTGTTTTGATCCGAACGGGCACACGGACGAAATGGGTCGGCAAGTTAGAAAAAAAATTATATAAAACCAGGTCTCACGGTTAACAGGTGAAACCTATCCTAACGGATGACACGTGTTATTCACAAATCACAAAGCATCTAATCTCTTCCCGTGCATTAGCAAAACTGAATTCTTTTCCGGCAAGTTGGAGTTGCTCTTAACACTCTTGGGATTGCGATTGGATGAACCAGGCAAAGAAAAGGACTGGGCTCCGGAAGTCGTGGTCTCTCTCGTGCTCCACTTGGCTTCCTCCCACTCATCGCAAAAGGGAAATCGAAGATTACCGGAGCGCGTGCTCGTCCTCCAGTCCGCCCATTCCGGCGCCAGTCGCCACCTCAGCCGAATCCCCATTTCTCCCATTTTTCCCGAGGCTAGATCTTGTTCCATTTTTCCCGAGGCTAGATCTTGTTCCAGCGCATTAGGTGCCCGCTCTGTTTTTTTTTTCTAATGGGAAGCAGTAATCAAGAACCGGGGGTGAGTCTCCGGACGGACGGCTGGCTACAGAAGCCTATCGATAGCCTCATGCGGATCCCGGATAAGATTCAGAGCTCTCTCAAGGTTGGTTGCTTCTTGATCAGGTGAAGAGATCCTTTGTTATCGATCGATGGGGTCGAAATTGGTTGGGCAGATGTAAACTGACATGTTTGGATCTTGTGATAGCTACATTTTGGGCGTTTCTTGAAGACGGATGGTGTTAGCGGCGGGGGTATCAAGGCACAAATGCCACCAGAGAAGGTGAGGGTAGCATGTACCGCTGCTGCTGCTTCAGAGGTTAGCTTGGACCGGCAGCTCCAGGCTTGGAGGGACAATCCTAGTTGGACTGATCAGCCTCCAGAAATCAAGGTACTAGTATTTGATAACGAGTTGCGATACAAGGATTGCGATTGGGAATGCTTGTATTGTAGGTTAAAAGATGGGCTTATATATTTCGAAAATTAAATTGGACACAAGGAAATCATTCTTCTTATTGGAACATCTCTGAGTTTGATGTTCCAGTAGGTCATAATTATTTCCAGATTATTGAATTATTTTGATATCCTTGTTAGGAATTAATTCGATGTCCTAACCTTACATTATCTAATCAATGTTTACAGGTGACTGTGCCACAAGGCTCTCTTTGCAACCTCAATCTAAGATTTCAGGCAGGATTACCACCGGATGCAGTTTACAACATTATAATTGACCCGGAGAACAAAAGAGTGTTCAAAAATATCAAGGTGCGTACAGTTAATTACTTAGAATGACCTTAATGACTGAGGTGGAATGGACTTGTGACCGTTAAGGGATCTGCTTGATGCTCTGTTCTAAAGTTGCTCTTAAGTGTTGGTCTCTCAAAAAGTTTCTGTTGTTCTACTAGTTATACGGACAAGGCACTCAGTCATTGTTGTATTTATGTCATTGTATAGAGCAAAGTGGTTCTGTCATGCAATTCCCCGGAAAAATTGGGATGCAATTCCCCGGAAAATTGTATTATCTTCATACATTTATCTGATGCCCGTTAACTAACTTAACAGATAATTAACTGGCTGGCCTGCAAGGTTGTAAGTGCTATAAATGTATCCTGAAGTCTATCGGTATGTCGAATGACACAATCTGAAATGCGATTTTTCCCCCGCAAAGTTATGTGTTCCTGTCCTGGCGCAGTGGTAAAGCTGCTGCCTTGTGACCTGGAAATATACCTGGCCATCCCTTGGGCCGGGCCTAACCAAGCCCGATGCAAAAAAAACAGGCCCGGACCTGGCATGGCCCGGGCGTCAGGCCTAAAAATCAGGCCCAAGCCCGGCCTGCCAGTGTAAAAGCCTGCCAGACCTTGGGCCAGGCCTCTTCGTTAACGCGCTAATATGGCGGGCCTGGGCCTGGCCTTCGGGCTTGAAATCTAGGCCCGAGCCCGGCCTGACGTCAGGCTGGGCCGGGTCGGGCCGACCGGGCCAGGCTGCCCATGGCCAGGTCTACCTGGATACAGCCTCTTGCAGAAATGTAGGGAAAGGTTGCGTACAATAGACCCAAAGTGGTCGGACCCTTCCCCGGACCCTGCGCAAGCGGGAGCTACATGCACCGGGCTTCCCTTTTTTTTTTAAAGTTATGTGTTCCTGTACAGAATGTGTTCGGAGTAGCTATATTGCAATCATTGAGAGAAAACATGAGAGGACATGCAGCATGCATGTGATTGTTCATGATTTCCTGAAAGTTAAACAACCCAAGGAATCACTTCTAGAGAAATAATTGTGTTATCTTACCCAATACCCATGCACGGTTCATTCTAATTTTCAGGAAGTGGTGTCGAGGAACGTGTTGCTTGATGAAGGGTCGAGGCAGATAGTTGAAGTGGAACAGGCAGCGATATGGAAATTCCTTTGGTGGTCTGGCATCTTGTCAGTCCATGTTTTTGTTGACCAGGACAGAAGAAATCACACTGTAATAACTTGAAACTTTCCCACAAGCCTTTTAGCAACATGTGCGATCTGTTTTCTGATACCATGATATATGGTTTCGTGCTATGAATGTTTTGCAGGTGAAGTTCAAACAAGGGCGAAGTGGTTTTATGAAGAAGTTTGAGGGTTGCTGGAAAATAGAGCCCCTATTTGTTGACAAGGAAGCATGCCTTCCTCTTGATCCACATACGCTGGAAGAATATGATTCTTGTTCTGCTGGCAGAGGAAGAGTTGGATCTGCCATTACCTTGGATCAGCTTATTGAACCTGCTCTGTTGCCCCCACAGCCCATCGCATGGTATGTGAGAGGGATTACCACAAGGACGACCGAGATGCTGGTGAATGACCTAATAGCGGAAACTGCTCGGCTGCGAGGCCTGGCAAGCAATGGGGATGCCAACGAGCATACTGAAGAAAATCGTGATGTTAATGGAGACGTTCTAACAGAAGATTGTAATGATGTTAAGGAAAGGTGGCGACAGAGAAGAAAAGCTGGACGACATGGAAGTTCCCTTAGATTGACACAAGACAATAGGGGCAGGATAAGCTATTAAGCCTGATCAATATATAACTAAGTTAGTGTATATGTTTGCAGTTTTGTGTTGATGGTGTAGCATTCCTCGAATTTTGGATTACTGGTCATGATTATGGATGAGCATGTCTGAGATAGAGATGTTGAATGGTGTATAATTGTTTTGATGATGTTACAAATGAAATTCTACTTCGACCAGAAGCTATCATTACTTTGGTTCAGTTTGATATGCAGTTCTGAACTTTCTGGGCAGCTGAAGTTGCTTGATCTTCATGCTTGGCGTGCTTGGCGTGCCTAGTACATTTCTTTAAAATATTTTAACAAAATTACAGTGTTGCTGTGTGATGATGTGAGCTCATGTGAATCAAAGTTTCATGAAAACTGAAGCTGGCCAGATGAACCAGATGCCAATCTCTAAACCTGGCCAAAACTTGTGGGCTAGTTCATCCATCCTTCTCCAAATCTTCAAGGCAAGGAAAGCCTCCAATTCCTTTCTTTACTACACATGCTCAAGGCAACGTCGCCCTATGAAACTACCACCCTACCACAGCTTTTGCATTCTATAGCCCACTGATCAACCGCGCGGCAGCCATGTCCGACCATCCACGGCCGCCGTCGATGCCGCCGCCTCAGCCGCAGCCCTTCCGGTTCTGGCTTCCTTACAGAAGCAATGTGGGGTCGTGGCGCCAGCAACCGCGGCCGCCAATGCCACTGCCGCCTCGACCTCAGCCACCCGGTCCACCCCCACCAACCCCGGCGGAGCCCGCACGGCGAGCGCCTCCGTCACGCGCCGTGGAGGAAGACATCCCCATCCAGGCTGACTCGTCCGACGAGTCGGACACGGTTGCTGTTGAAGCTTTAGAGTCGCTGCGGCTACGAGGAGCCAGGCCGGCCATGGCTGACTTGGAGCTGACGCTCTCGAGGTCGCCACCGCCGCCCACGGGCCCAGAGCAGGGCACGAGCGGGGGCGGCGACCGTGGGAATGACGGCGCCAAGATCTCCATCTCCGGCTTCCCGAGGGCGCGCCTCTTCGACGGCGCCCGCGCGCCGTACCGGCGGGAGATCGAGGACGGCCTCAAGAGCCTGGCCGGCCGCGAGACGCCGGCGCCGAGCCCGCCGGACATCGGCAACCAGGGGTACCGGGTCTTCACGCTGGCCGGCCACAACGTCGGCGCGAGCATGGTCCTCGGGAACGGCCCCAGCGGCGTGCCACTGCCAAGAACCGATGAGCCGGAGCGCTCGGCGAGGCCGCCGTTGGTTGCCGCAAACGTGAACAGCAACGTGCAGGGCGTGAACAACTCGGCGATGGAGGAGAGCACGTGCAACTCCGGCGACCCCGGGGTGCGCGTGGACATCAAGAACACGCACGAGGATCGTGTTGCGCTGGGGCAGGGCAAGGAGGAGCGGGAGGAGAAGCCAGAGGAACCGTCAAGAACACCGCCGCCGCAAGCAGCGAGCAGCGGCGAGGCGTCCCCGGCGCCGCCGAAGACGAGGCGGTGCCTTCGCGCGCTGATGATCGAGGAGCGGAAGCCGAAGCCGATATCCTGCCGGTTCCAGTGCGTGGCGGACCACGCGCCGAAGCCGGCGACGGCGAGCGACCCCGGCGGTAACAAGAGCGCGGGGAGGAAGGCGCGGAAGACAGTGTAGGACAATAGATTTGAGGGAACCGGCTCAACTCTTTAGGAGGCCTATCACACACACACACATATATATATATATAGGGAAAATCCATCCTACCACCCGGTGGTAGTTACCCCACATGTCTCATATACTAGCATGTGGTACTATATATGCTATTTTATTGTTTTAAATATGTTCATATACTATATCTAAGATATTTCAAAACAAGTTACATGAAAAAATTGCACATGTGCCTATAGTTTTTGTTATATTTATGAAATACGTACATATTTGTACGTAAAAAAGAGCATACTCAAAAAATGGTACATACTACCTAAAAATTTGTATATATACTATCTAATTATTATTATATACTACATACTACACGTACATATTTTCGGTTTCGACAGATACTACATACAACATACAAAACGCAAGTGGTGGTAACTACCACTGCTTGTAGGAAACATTTGTCCTATATATATAATATGAAGGGGTATACAATGTTACATCATATGTATATATATACAGAAGCTATACAGTCTAACACCTTCCCTTAATCTTAGCCACTTTCTAAAGAATCTAGAAGGGTTGAGCCGGTTCTTACTAGGCATGCAAATAGAAGTCTTCAGCTTTATAATGTGCTTAGAGTTCCCTATGTGACACGCAATCTTCTTTCAGTTCCTAAACTCACACGTGATAATAATGTGCTTTGTGAATTTCATCCCTTTGATCTTTTTATTAAGGATCGGGGCACGAGGGACATTCTTCTTAGCGGGCGGTTGTGCCAGGGCCTCTATCGTTTGGAGCATCCTGATGTCGCATGCGTGTTCAGTGGAGTTCGGGTATCTTCGTCACAGTGGCATGCTCGTCTTGGTCACCCAGCCACACCTATCGTTCGTCATGTTTTGCATCGTCATGAGCTTCCTAGCATATCTAGTAATAAAGATGTAGCAGTGTGTGATGCTTGTCAGCAGGGGAAGAGTCATCAACTTCCTTTTTCGGAGTCTAGTCGTGAGGTGAAACATCCTTTAGAACTTGTATTTTCAGATGTATGGGGTCCTGCTCAGACTTCTGTCAGTGGTCACAATTATTATATCAGTTTCGTTGATGCTTATAGTCGCTTTACCTGGCTTTATCTTATTAAACGCAAATCTGATGTGTTTGATATCGTTGTTCAGTTTCAAAAACATGTTGAACGTCTTCTCAAGCACAAAATTGTTCATGTTCAGTCGGACTGGGGGTGAGTATCGCAATCTCAACTCCTTCTTTCAGTCGCTTGGGATCGCTCTGTTCGGGAACGTAGCAGAAATTCAAAATTTTCCTACGTGTCACCAAGATCTATCTATGGAGAAACCAGCAACGAGGGGAAGGAGAGTGCATCTACATACCCTTGTAGATCGCTAAGCGGAAGCGTTCAAGAGAACGGGGTTGAAGGAGTCGTACTCGTCGTGATCCAAATCACCGGAGATCCTAGTGCCGAACGGACGGCACCTCCGCGTTCAACACACGTACAGCCCGGTGACATCTCCCATGCCTTGATCCAGCAAGGAGAGAGGGAGAGGTTGAGGAAGACTCCATCCAGCAGCAGCACAACGGCGTGGTGGTGGTGGAGGAGCGTGGTACTTCAGCAGAGCTTCGCCAAGCACCGCAAGAGACGAGGAGGGAGAGGGGTAGGGCTGCGCCAAGAAGGAGAGGAACTCGTGTGTCTTGGGCAGCCCAAACCTCAAGTATATATATGGGGAGGGAAGGGGTTGCGCCCCCACCTAAGGTTCCCTCCCTAGGGGTGGCGGCAGCCCCCAGATCCCATCTGGGTGGCGGCCAGGTGGAGGGGAGAGGGAGGCGCACCAGACATGGGCCCTAAGGTCCATCTGCCCTTATGGTTTGCCCCCCTCCTCCCCTTAGGTGCCTTGGGCCCTTGTGAGGGGGCGCACCAGCCCACCTGGGACTGGTCCCCTCCCACACTTGGCCCATGCAGCCCTCCGGGGCTTGTGGCCCCACTTGGTGGACCCCCGGGACCCTCCCGGTGGTCCCGGTACGTTACCGATAAACCCCGAAACTTTTTCGGTGACCAAAACAGGACTTCCCATATATAAATCTTTACCTCCGGACCATTCCGGAACTCCTCATGACATCCAGGATCTCATCCGGGACTCCGAACAACATTCGGTAACCACATACAAACTTCCTTTATAACCCTAGCGTCATCGAACCTTAAGTGTGTAGACCCTACAGGTTCGGGAACCATGCAGACATGACCGAGACGTCCTCTGGTCAATAACCAACAACGGGATCTGGATACCCATGTTGGTTCCCACATGTTCCACGATGATCTCATCGGATGAACCACGATGTCAAGTACTTAATCAATCCCGTATACAATTCCCTTTGTCTAGCGGTACGATACTTGCCCGAGATTCGATCGTCGGTATCCCGATACCTTGTTCAATCTCGTTACCGGCAAGTCTCTTTACTCGTTCCGTAACACATCATCCCGTGATCAACTCCTTGATCACATTGTGCACATTATGATGATGTCCTACCGAGTGGGCCCAGAGATACCTCCCCGTCACACGGAGTGACAAATCCCAGTCTCGATTCGTGCCAACCCAACAGACACTTTCGGAGATACCCGTAGTGCACCTTTATAGCCACCCAGTTACGTTGTGACGTTTGGCACACCCAAAGTATTCCTACGGTATCCGGGAGTTGCACAATCTCATGGTCTAAGGAAATGATACTTGACATTAGAAAAGCTTTAGCATGCGAACTACACGATCTTGTGCTATGCTTAGGATTGGGTCTTGTCCATCACATCATTCTTCTAATGATGTGATCCCGTTATCAATGACATCCAATGTCCATGGTCAGGAAACCGTAACCATCTATTGATCAACGAGCTAGTCAACTAGAGGCTTACTAGGGACATGGTGTTGTCTATGTATCCACACATGTATGTGAGTTTCCTATCAATACAATTCTAGCATGGATAATAAACGATTATCATGAACAAGGAAATATAATAATAACCAATTTATTATTGCCTCTAGGGCATATTTCCAACAGTCTCCCACTTGCACTAGAGTCAATAATCCAGTTCACATCGATATGTGATTAACACTCAAGGTCACATCCCCATGTGACTAACACCCAAAGAGTTCTGGGTTTGATCATGTTATGCCTGTGAGAGAGGTTTCAGTCAACGGGTCTGCAGCATTCAGATCCATATGTACTTCACAAATTTCTATGTCATCTTGTAGATGCAACTACTACGCTACATTTGGAGCCATTTCAAATAACTGTTCTACTTGAAGCTATTCTAAATTGTTGCTCCATTATACGTATCCGGTATCTCTACTCAGAGCTATCTGGATAGGTGTTAAGCTTGCATCGACGTAACTCTTTACGTCGAACACTTTATCACCTCCATAACCGAGAAACATATCCTTATTCCTCTAAGGATAATTTAGACCGCTATCTGGTGATCTACTCCTAGATCACCTTTGTACCCTCTTGCCAAATATGTGGCAAGGCACACATCAGGTGTGGTACTCAGCATGGCATACCGTATGGAGCCTATGACAAAAGCATAGGGGACGACCTTCGTCCTTCCTCTTTATTCTGCCGTGGTCGAGCTTTAAGTCTTAACTTCATACCTTACAACTCAGGCAAGAACTCCTTCTTTGACTGATCCATCTTGAACACCTTCAAGATCATGTCAAGGTATGTGCTCATTTGAAAGTACCATTAAGCGGTTTGATCTATCCTTATAGATCTTGATGCTCAATGTTCAAGTAGCTTAATCCAGGCTTTCCATTGAAAAACACTTTCCAAATAACCCTATATGCTTTCCAGAAATTCTACGTCATTTCTGATCAACAATATGTCAACAACATATACTCATCAGAAATTCTATAGTGCTCCCACTCACTTCTTTGGAAATACAAGTTTCTCATAAACTTTGTATACACCCAAAAACTTTGATCATCTCATCAAATCATACATTCCAACTCCGAGATGCTTACTCCAGTCCTTAGAAGGATTGCTGGAGCTTTGCATACTTGTTAGCATCTTTCAGGATTGACAAAACCTTTCGGTTGTATCACATACAACCTTTCCTCAAGAAAATCATCGAGGAAACAATGTTTTGACATCCTATCTGCAAGATTTCATAAATAATGCAGTAATCGCTAATATAATTCCAACAGACTCTTAGCATCGCTACAAGTGAGAAAGTCTCATCGTAGTCAACTCCTTGAACTTGTCGGAAAACATCTTAACGACAAGTCGAGCTTTCTAAATGGTGATACTTACCATCATTGTCTGTCTTCCTTTTAAAATCCATATGTACCTAACAGCCTTACGACCATCAAGTAGTTCTTCCAAAGTCTACACTTTGTTTTCATATATGGATCCTCTCTCGGATTATATGGCCTCGAGCCATTTTGGAATCCAGGCCCACCATCGCTTCTCCATAGGTCGTAGGTTCATTGTTGTCTAGCAACATGACTTCCAAGACAGGATTACGTACCATTCTGAAGTAGAACGCATCCTTGTCATCCCACGAGGTTTGGTAGTGACTTGATCTGAAGTTTCATGATCACTATCATAAGCTTCCACTTCAATTGGTGTAGGTGCCGCAGGAACAACTCCCTGTGCCCTGCCACACACTAGTTGAAGAGACGATTCAATAACCTCATCAAGTCTCCACCATCCTCCCACTCAATTCTTTCGAGAGAAACTTTTCCTCAAGAAAGGACCCGATTCTAGAAACAATCCATATTGCTTTCGGATATGAATTAGGAGGTATACCCAACTTTTTGGGTGTCCTATGCAGATGCATTTATCCGCTTTGGGTTCGAGCTTATCAGCCTGAAACTTTTCACATAAGCGTCACAGCCCCAAACTTTTAAGAAACAACAACTTAGGTTTCTCTAAACCATAGTTCATACGGTGTCGTCTCATCGGAATTACGTGGTGCCCTATTAAAGTGAGTGCGGTTGTCTCTAATGCCTAACCCATGAACG